CCCCCCCCCCCCCTGCCCCCCCCGCCCTCCCGCCTACAGTAGATGAAAAAGATTGTACTCGGCAAGGGGGAGGCTGGAGGTCAACCTCGAGGATATTTGGGATTGGAGATATTGTGGGGGAGGGTGGATGCAGCTGCCACATCCATGACGTATCTCTCCGCAAGAAGTCCCTTCTTGGATGAATGGGACGTCCGGTGCAAGATCTTGCTTCTGTTTGGGTTATTGCCTGCAAAGCACAAGCATGGCTTGGTCTGATGTCTCGCTGCTTATCGTGTCGCTGATGTCTGTCAGGGCGTGAACTACGTGTTCGACAAGCGCATGGGGGATAAGGTTACCGGCGACAAGCTGTCCAAGTGCCACCAGTGCGGAGTGCCTTGCGCGGACCACACCAACTGCGCCAACTCGTGTTGCCACGCTAGGCTCATCCAGTGCGAAAGGTTTGTTGCTGTTGTTGTTGTTGTTGATGCTGTTGTTGTTATTATTATTGTGCATTGATGCCGTTACTTGTGTTAATGCTGTTGCTGTGCTGTATTTTTCGGTTCTACGCATGTGAGATACACCGGCGGGCAAGGCCCTACGATTCCCTTCCCTTACACCCTTAACTCTCCGCATCGTGAAAGACCGGTAGCGCCTTCGCACAACTCGCAGCCACCGCCAGCCCTCCTACTCCCACCCTCCGCTTAACCCCTCCCTCCAGTTGCGCTTCGAAGTACAAGGGCTGCTGCAGCCGTGGGTGCGACGACCAACGGTCCCGCGAGGACCTTCGAGCGTCGCTCATGCGCTCGGAACGCGAGGCGATGGGGCTGCCATCGCTGCCGACCTCGTCATTACCCGTAGACTCACCTCTCAAGCCGGTGGCTGAGGCAATAGAGGGGGTCGTTGACGACGTACAGGGCGATGTGTCCAAGTCTGCTGGCCTTGAGGAAGCGGCAGCGATAAGGACCGAGGCGCAGGAGGATGAGGAGGAGCTGCTGTGGCTGGTCTGGCCTTTCCAGGTGCGTGTAAGGTCAAGGGATTCAGGGTTTGCCCGACCACGTCGCCAAGCGAGTCGCTGTCATCCCACGATGCGTGCTGGTGCGACCACAAGAGGTTTTGTTAGTGACCCGGTCCACACGTTGTGGTGGAAGCGGAGGGATTTGCGGACCCTGGTGTTGTTTTTACTGTTTCTGGTTCGGCGGCGTGTGGTGAGAGGGGACCGGGGTAAAGCGTTGCCTGTGTAGCAGGCAACGCACGCCTCGTGCACAGTCTAAAAGGATTTGCTGCGTGGGGACTGTAGAGGTGTGTCATTTTACCCCCTTCGTTGTTTCTCAGAGTTGAGTAGGCCACGAAAAGCGAAGGATGGAGTGATGACCTCCCGCTGTCCTAGCACGACTCCCCGTGCTGTGCATTTCCGCATCTTTACTTTGGGGGCCACACGCACCCAGCGCACAACTGATGCACGGCACCCTCTCCCGGCCCAACCACAGGACCCCACCCTGAACCTGATGTTCGACCGCGCCTTCGACGAGTATCGAGATTCAGCCCCGACGGGCGATGATGGCAGTGCCGTGGAGCAAGACTCGTCGAGGATGATCGGCATCATCTCCAGGCTGGGCGGCGGCAAGCGGGCACTGGCGGTGGGGCTTGGATCTGGTAGTGCGGCCGGTGAGGTTTTATGCGCGGGTCGGAGTCGTGGTTGTGCTATTGAGTTGATGGCTGCTTGCGGTAGCCCGCGACACAGCTGCATGTGCGGTCGATATCGAGTACAACTGTTCATCCTCTCCGTAGCTCTTCTTGATGTTGCCCGTTGAGGGAAATTCCCACTCCCGAGGGTCCAAACGGTTCCAACTTGTCCCCATCCGCTCTTCCCGTTCCTAAACGAAAAGGTCGAGCCGGCCTGCGGCGGCTGGCGGAGGCGTTAGGGGAAGGGGGCGAGCTGTTCGCAGTGGAGGCGTCTTCCGAAGCGGCAACCGCGGCGCGCGGCCTTTCCCTTGTCGCTCAGGCACGAGGCTGCAGGTACGATACGATACGATGGACCCACTCGTCCCTTAGGGTTTTGGCGCTGGGTGCGGGGTGGGGGGTTGCGGGGCGCGAAGGTTAAGCTAGAGGAAGGTTAGGCGCTGTTTGTTCATGGCGACGGTGGTCGGCGATGTACCAGGCAACAAGGCGGGGGGCGTGGGTTGCACGAACGGGAGGGGTGCACCCAAGCCTTGGGTGGAATGTGTTTCCGTGTGTTGCGTTGGAAGAAGGGGCTGCGCCTCAAGCTTGGGGGGTGGAATGTGTCTCAGTGTGTCCCGTTGAAAGAACGGTGCGGAATGCTGCTCCTTCTCGGGATGGGCATGTTTTTGTGTGTAACGCACATGTATGTGCTTGTGTCAGTTTTTTTGTCGTTGCGTCCCCGTCGCAGGCTTCCGCTTGTCCCACAAAACTGTTTCCTCAGCTTCGGTTTAGTCCCGTGCTGTGCTCGTTGCTCCCGTTGGCCGGCCAATGGCGATGTACAGCAGTACTGGCAAAGCGCGTGGGACCATGAACCGCTGTAATAGCATCCGAGCAAACTACCACACGTTCAAGGTGAATTTTCACCCCAGGTCTGCAAGGTAAAACCACCTGCACCTCTCGTGCCGTAGCTGGCGCCAAGCCCAAAGTAAGTTGTACGGTAGCAGACCCGGGGTCTAAGTTCCACATTTTCAAGCCCTAATCCTCTTCCACTTTCGATTTCCGCTGAAAAAGGCGAGAACCAACACAACGTTTCCTTCTTGGTGCGTTGTATGATGCACATCTCCGGAATCTGTGTACCAGTATATTTTATGACCCACACCCGTTCCACCTTCGAATTCCGCGAACGAACCAACGCAGCGTGACCGTGTTGGTTTGCGACGAGGGGGAGATGCTCGAAAGCATTCGCACGGTGGTTGCCGAAGCCGATTCGGCGAAGGCCTCGACGGCGACGGCGGCTGCGGTGGGCAAGGACGGGGACGTAAGGCCGGATGAGACTGCCCATCGGTCTGCGCGGGGTGGGCTATTCGACGTCATCTTGCTTGGCGGAGGGGCTGGGGTGGAAGGGGCGGGGTCGGTTCCGGTTAGAGAGGAGGACCGCACGCCAGCCGAAAGACTGGACCTTGTCATGGACAGGCGAGTGCGAAGGGAAGATCCTTGCAAATGCACAAGGACTTGTTGTGTTTTGTTTGGGTGCTTGTTGTTGAGGGTCTTTCATTACCGACGTGCCCTCTTGGGTGGATGTAGAAAACGGTGGAAACGCTCTCAGTGGCAGTAGAGAAGAGGGTGCCTAGGGAAAAAAGGAATACAACAACCGCGGTAGACAGGTCGACGTTTATGTTGGAGACAGGTCGACACTATCTCACAGCAGTTTCATCTTGACGGATATCTCCGCGATAAGTAATGGGTTTGTTCAGTTTCAGCCATGGACGTATGTCAAGACCTTGATTGCCACCACCCATTTAGCTCACACACGCGATGGCCCTCTCTCCCCACCCCCCGCCAACCGCCTGGTTGCATACCAACTCCCAGGCGACTCATGAAGAGAACCGGACTGGTGCTGTGCGACCCGCAAGCTCTCGGGGGAGGCCGGGCGGCCGCGAGATCGATGGTAGCGCGAGCGGCGGAAGTGAAGGGCAGCGTTGAGCACGCTAGGGTCCCCGGGGCTGGGCCCAGCGGGGGGTTGCACGTGTTCAAGTGGAAAACCTATTCGCACTAGTGGAAAACCTAATCGCACTAGATATATGGTACTGTAATCCACCCCCATGTAGGTCGAAGACAGAGATGGGGGTTTCGTGTTCCTGTTTTTTTTTGTCTACAGGTTTTTGTAGGGGTAGTGTGGCGCCTGCGCTGCACTGCAGAGTTATGATGGTACACGTAGCCTACCCATTGGAGCCATCGCCTCTTGCCGTACTTCACGTACCGGGTACATGGTGCGGTTTACAGAGAAGGGTCGTGGGACATATCGCGCAGCACGCCAAGATTGGCTGTTGGATCGTGTTGGGATTCGGCAATGCTGCCAATGCATGCCGTATTCCACGTTAATGACGACGTGACCATCGTGCCACAATCACCTCTTGGTATGAGGAATTGTTATTGGTGTGTACATTTTTCATGCATGGCTTGTTGCTGTGCCGTTTTGCGGTATGGTGTCTTGGGCCCATTTCTCCTCCGTCTGCCTGTTTGCTGTCTGTTGCACTTTTTTTTCTCTGTAGCGACACCCGTTTCCCGTTGCTCAGGCGTTTGATTTCTTGCAGTTTGCCCCCCGTTCTGTGTTGCGCTATGAGCTTTTGTTTCCGTCGTTGCGAACGTGAGTCGTGTCTTCATCAGCCCGAAGAGCTATGTAGATGACTTGGGTAGAACCTCCATAAATACGAAATAACTACCGGACGGGTCGTAAATTTGTCTGGTCGACCTAGACCATTCACCTATTCAGGAAGGGAAGTTGCCATTCTATCGACGGCTATCGTGGTCCTATGCACACAAAGTAAGGCGATGAAGCGTGACGATACAATGCGATGGTATTGTACCGAGGAAGCGGCACTCTGTGACCAGTCATAAAATCTGTTTTCACATGTTGGAGCTCAAAATCTGTCCGGAGTTCGCTCGCGGTAGCACACAACCGCAAGCACGAAGTGAGTGAGCGTTTCCTTTACCGTAGCCAGGAGAGGAAGAACAAGCGAACACGCACTTCCTTACTTTGCATCACAGATGGTTTCCGGTGTGTGGATACAGTGGGGGTCCATCTTTTGTGCCAGGGTGTGTCCAAAGATTCTACCGGCACTACACCGGGCACTGGCGCTATCCAGAATAGTGCCCCAAAGTGCCGATTTGCAATATTGATGCTTCGAATATCCCCCAATAGTGCCGATCCGGCACCATTGAGGTGTTTGATTTCATGGTGTGGCGCTCGCGCTTTGCGGGGCCAACTGAGTACGAAATGGATCGAAATTGAAATAGGTGAAGTTCTAGCGTGTGTGTGAGCAGAGTTTCTCGCGACGCGTGTGATTCCACTCTGCCGAACACACAGAGTTTGTTGCAAGACATGAAGGATAAAATACTTCTCGGAAAACAGTACCACGACGACAGTGCACCGCAAGAAAACAACAACCACTCACTACGTCACGATAAACTCTCTCATGTCTGCCTGGCACACCCGCTTCGCTGTTGCAAGATAAAATACAATCAAAACAAACCACAAGTACGACAGGAAGCGCACCGCAAGGCAAACAACCAACCATGTGGCGTGGCCAAGGAAAGCTTGCGGAATCCTGTCTGGTTGAAGGCACAGACAGTTCACCTTCCGCACACAGCATGGTGCACCTCTGCGTAGAGCTCTTTGGATCTGCAGCAGCACGTGTACCGTATTTTCTGTGTTGCGTCTGTCCGCTGTCATGTGTGTGTACGTCTTCATTATTACAGCATCAACTGCGCTAGGCGGCGAACCAATGAAAAGACGTGAGTCCCGCTCTGTTGCGGTGAACACGCACAACACTTTTTTGAATGCCATAAACTGGGACCTCGTGAGGGGGGCGGCATCGGGCAGGCTAAGCTATTCTCTGGGTTCAAGACAGGAGCGGTAGTAGCAGAACAAAACTGCACGTGTCTGCCAAGACTGCTACCTTGCACTCGAGTTCATACTGGAGTGCTTTCACTATCACTATCATTCTCCTTGCTTTCACTACCATCACTCTCGCCATTCTCCCAGCTATTTCTCGACAGTTCTTCTCGAGCCCTGCGTCGTGTGTTGTGGGGAAGGTAATCTGGCTCGAATATCGTGTTCTCTTCAACTCCACGCTGCCCTCCTCCATTACTATTCTGGCCGTTCCCTGGTGTGTGTGTAGTGAACCGGCACTATTGAAAGCGCTGTCTGTCCGTGCCCAGAGATTTTACCGGCACTATACCGTGCACCGGTACTATCAAATCGGCACTATGGGGGCCCCCCCACTGTACTCGCTTTATCCTCTTTGTTTGCGTTCGTTTGCCCATAAAGTTGTGTTTTCTTTCACCCATCCGAAACCACCGAGCTCGGTGTGCTCTGGGTCTCGCTTTTTTCCACAAAGGCGGGCAGCAGCAAGGGGAACGGTTGAGAGGTATCGCACCGGGTGTTCCTAGTCCTCTTTGCAAGCTTTCGCTTGTTTGATGATCATTGAGTCGGTTGGTGAAATTTGAAAACACTCGTGGGTTTTGTTTTTTGTGGCTGTGTGCTTGACCGACGCGTCTTCCCGGCATTAGCATGGGCATGTTGATATCCCCGAAGCAGGAACACAAGTCCAACTCAGCCTATGTGGGATCTTCCCGCCGTTGATCACTGTCGTCATTCAGCGACGAAACAACGTCGAGTTCTAGCCACAAAAATCGCAACCCGCGAAGCCATCCGGTCGCCCACCTTGCATGGCACAAGTCGTTGTCAACGCTTGTTTCCGTGCCGATTTCCCCCCAAAGGATGAATGACCGTCTTGGCAATAAATGGGGGTAACTCATCGTGGACTTGCACGTTGCCCAAGCGAGTGTACCTTGGCAGACTGGCAGACCCAGGGTGTGTTTGAACCAGCCGAGTCCCCGACACCGACCCTAATGGCGTATTATTATTGCACCGCGGGATACACTAGTGAATACCCAGCGCCCGCCGCCTCTGCGTTTCCCCCAAGACCTGCCGCTGCAGCCGTTCGGTGCTTTTCCGGGGGACGAAACACGGAGTCGAGGGCGATGCTGAGGGTGTCATCGATAACCCGGACGATCATACCTTGAAGCAAGGGGCACACGAACTCCAGGCACGGGTTGGAATTTACCTGCGTCGAAATTGGCCGTATTAGTGTTTGGAGGGCGCCTACAATGGGTAGATACGCGAGAGACCAGACACGTGGCTCCCGAATGATATTCACACCTGCTTCTTTCTGACCTTCGATCATGGGTTCGAGACGTGCAAGTGAGGATTACGGAGAATATCGCCGAACGTGGAGCGTTTCTAAGCCCTGTGAGTCGACGGATAGGGTGGTGGTGTGTGCGAAACGGTGTTTCAATAGGTCACTTCCAAGTATGTAGACTATGCAATTTGTTGCCCCTTCAACCACCTGCTTCGTTTCCTAGCGACAAAGTTGAGTCCTCCCCGAAAAAAAAAAAAACGGTGCAATGCGTACAGTGACGTCATTGAGGTGCGAGAGAAATATCAAACCACGCTGTTATTCCGCACATCTGGTTGAGCTATGTAGCCCTTTTGCCCCCGCCTTCGGCCTTCCTACATGCAGTAGTCAGAGAGCGAAGGAAAAGAGCGTAGGACTTCGTATTTCTCACACACCCCGCTTCGTCTGCGGAGTATGCCTTCGAGGCAACGGGCTAGCGGCCCCCTAAACCCCTAGACTAACCCCTCGCTTCGCTCCTTCCAAACAAACTCACGGGCTCACTAGAGTAAATGGTGTAGTTCATGACAGCGAGAAAAAATGGCGAATACATGGAGAGGAGTGGCCCACCGCATACGACACAAAAAAACACACCCATGTGACAACACGAGTTGTCTCCTGTAACTCATATCACCGTGTGAGTTGTCGTGTGGCGGGGGTATCGTTAGTCGCCCAATATTTGAGAGTGATGTCATGTTTCGGGCTTAGTGTCGATCGGTATTGTTGCTGCCACCGGGTGTCGTATTGTGTGCGAGGTTCGTCATCGAAAGTCAAATACGGTGCGCGAGAAGAGCAGAGTGGTGCTATCTTGGGATTCGAAGGTTGTGAGTGGACAACGGAAAGGAAAACATCTCCTTGAAATATTCGGATCAGTGGCATACCTCAATGAGGTAGACTCGAAGATCATCGTCAACCATGAAGTCGTAACCGAGGAGTTCGAATGCGTACGGACGGCCTCGCCTGTTTATCCCCGCCTGTGAAGCCGCGGCGACGGAAGTCGCTACCATCGAGTGCATCCGTGGCCGGAGAGTTTGCTCAACCCACCCGAAAGCCTTCCCCTTGTGAGTCGACCTATGCGACGGATAGGGTAGGTACAAGGCTTGAAGCACCGCACCGTGTCTTCGAAGGAAGGTGTATCGACTATTAAACGGATGTTTGTGCCATACCTTGAGGCTAAACGAAATCCCAACGTCACCACGTTTGACGCATACCATTCGCATGCGAGATCGGTAGTGTGTACGCACACCCAAAGCTTGTTCATTGATTTCTGTGTCTGCCAAGGATCGAAACCTAAATCCAGGTGAAATTCCGATGCTCAACCACTCGCTCATCAAGACAAGCTATACATTTCAAAACTACAGCAGAGTTCGTGTCTCCCTCATCAAGCACAGCACAACGCACCCGCGTCATAGCCAAGGTACGCCATGCTGCCTAGATAGCCTCTTCAACAACAAAATCGTATGACCAGGAAAATTCAGTAGAATCGAGCAAGCCATACACGGAATATATTGTGACCCACATTGGTGTGAGGTTTCATTATCGTCACATCACCAGAAAACACATTTCTTGCTCTGGACTCACCCATCTCCGTCGAGCCAATCCTGTAGGTCAGCTAAGGTGAGCTTGTTTCCGGGCTCGTCTTGGCCATAGCTAGGGCTCTGACGCTGAACAGCGTTGTTCGTCAGGTGGACAAACTAAGGCCATCAAGAGTAAGCATGGTCGGGCGAACACAACAACGCACGTATGTTCAGAGAGAGTGCACCGAGGATGGCCGGGGGTCTTGGCCAATTCAATCTGAACCTTTCCTATATGCGCGGAGAAGTGTGGTCACCTGGCTAGCGAAACGAAAGAGCGTGCGTCTAGCGCCGAATCTTGACGGTGGAAGCTAGGGTTTGGACTCAACTTGGTACCGATACACTTTAGAAGCAAACTCAGCGCTTATCCACACAGATGTACCTCAGGAACAGGACCTGCTCCGGCATTGCAGCCGAATCAAGCGAGAGGGCACTGCGTTCATCCTCACCCGGTCTTTCACCTTGCTCGGGTGATTGGTGTACCTCACCGAGCTGGTTCGTACGTAGGCATCTTGGTGACACCACGCCCTCAACGGACAGGGAGGCGGAGGTGATGACACGCCGCCACCGCCGAAGACGCTGCTGCCATTGGCAGGTGCCGCCTTCGGCTCTCCTTGCTTCTCAACACTTCCAACCTTCCCCGACAGCGGGCTCTTCGTACCCGAAGATGTCCTAGCCGTACCTTTGCTAGCATGGCCTCTGGGTGTTTGTTGTTGCCGAAATGGCTTCGATCGTCTTCGCCAGGCCCGCGTGGACGGGTCGGCAACGACCAGGACGAAGAGACGGATGTCGAACTTTCGGCCTCGGACCAACAGCGGTCGTTCGATGTATCGCTGCACGACCCACCCACTACGCCCAGCTTTGTTGTCCGTGGCGTCTACGATGCCCAAGACGTCCTGGGACGCAAGAAAATCAGGCGGGCGGGGGAGGCCAAGTGGGCAACGGTTGGCGGAACTGGCAGCAGTAACGCTTTCGCTGATGTTGGACGGAAGAAGCTATACACGTCGGCAGGCAATTGTTTCCACGACACCCTTGTGATGAACACTTAGCATTGCAGCGTCAACGAGGGGAAAGGCGGAATGCAGGTCTCTCCCGAGGAGAATCGACGGCAGTAACTCTTCGATTGAAACGCTGCCTTGCTTTCATCACTGAATAACGTCGGGTAGAAACCCTGATGGCAAAACCGACAAAGCGAGCAATGCCAGCAAAGCCAGCAATACTAGCTAGATTTCTTGGCCACCAAGGTGGTGTGGGCGACGTTTCGACCGTCCGACACTGCCACCGCGGTGCTCATGCCGGTTGTGTACCTCAATATATCCCTGCTGGAAAGATCATTCACGGTTATCCGAGGACACACGAAAAAAACCATCTCCCAGACCCCTGGGACGCAGCCAGCAACACGTGCGTTGTATTACAGTCAAGGAAGAATTTTCGGTGTAAGGTGGGCAAGCAGCGGAAGGGAATCAAGGTCGACGATCGCGCGATCGGGACGAGGGGGGGATAGCTCGAAAGTGGGGGTTTTGCGTGCTACAGTAGGTGGATCTCGTTTACCTCACGGGAACAACAAACTTGTATCCCAAAGCCACAGTTTGAGTTCGCGGCCGGCTTGACCACCCACGTCGGCATGCTCCCGGCCGACGTCTCTGGATCCACATCGCTGCTGCCCCTGTGTCTGTTCTTCCCTGCTCCGTCTGACTTGATGCCGTTGCCGGTGCTCGAATCACCCACGGTAAGATCGATGCTATCGGTGTCGTGGGTGTCCTTCACAATCGGAATGCCGCCTCTAGTGCTACCCTTTGGAGTTTGATCTTCTGACCCGTTTGTGGAACCTGCTCTTTCTCCTCCTCCTCTTCCTCCACCTCCATTTCTCGCCAATGAGTTCACGGAACGTCCCTCATTCCCTTCTACTTCATCCATCTTCGTTGCTGTCGCTGTGCCAACCCGAGGGATTGGACTGTTTCTCCCATTCCCCGATCTGACCGTGCTCGATTCCGCAGCGGCACCGAGAGACTCCGAGCAATTGCTGACGGGGTCGACGCAGTTATCTTGTGCGGTAACGTCATCGGATGGCAACGGTGAGCTTGACACGTTCTCTGGACATTCCTCGTCCTCTGGACGTTTTTCCAGAGAAACTTTGTCCTTCGGGGTTTGCGCGAAAGGTCTTGGCGACAGGGGAGGCGGAGCGGGCGACGCCGATCGCACTACCGTGTGCGGCGGGCACGATTCGGCGGGATCATGACCGGAGAAATCCGTTTCGGACGTCACTGCTACTTTCGGCACCTTTTCTCCCGCCACGGTAGCGACCATGTTCGTTTTACAACCCGGCACCGATCGCGCAACCCTGCCTATCGGGGGAGAGGCGCAGCCGCCGCCGGTGAGCACTACGTCTTCGACCGCCGTGTCCGGTGGCACTGTCGAAATTGGCATTGCCTGCATGACTGATGACGTCTCTGCCGTTCTTTGCTGTGAAGGAGAGGTCTGTGCCAACGATGGAGGAGGAGGCTCTTGCGCTGGGATTGTCGTCGAAGAAGAAGCTCCGGATGGGTCCCCCGTTGCTGCACAGGCGGCAAGAAACTCCGCGCGGTCGTCGCCGACATCGTCTTGTACGCCGCTCGCGCTACCGAGGTCGGGGTCTCTGCCGGGAGGATCGCCGGGGGCTTTCGAAGACCGCACGGCACCGCCCGAAAGGTAGAAGGTCTGCGGAACGATCCCGGTAACGGATTGGCCCTCGGAGGCACAGTAGCCGCGAAGGCTTTGCCAAAGGCCCTGGACCCAGGTCCGGGTGAAACATTCCGAGAGGCAGATAAGGCGATGGACGTATAGCCTAGTAGATAGTGGTGATTGCAGATTTCTTGTTTTGGGAGCGTGCCCTACTCAGATGGCTGGCTCCGTTGGTGTTTTTGTGAGTTTCGGGAAGAATTGAACGTACCTTCGCACTCTAGAAGCGCGTGCGGAGCACATGAGATTCATGTATACTAGAAGGAAGGCGAATGAAATGGTAAATACGGTAAACCACAAACTGCCATCGACAATGGACGAGGAAGCAAAATTGACAGAAATATTAGAGACAGAGCGACACTACACTCTACTGAGAGAACCAGCTAAAGGGATGGCCTCATCACGCCCAACCTTCTTCGAGACAAGTGTGTCGTTGAACTCGAAGTGGTTCACGGCTTGTCGCAAGTTCACGTCCAAGTTGGTTCCCTCGATAACTGGTCGCGAAGCGTACATTTCCCACCACAAATTAAAAGTCTTGTTGCTGTGAGCGATGCGAAGCGGGAACAGGACAGAAGAGGAGACAAGAAGCACAACGACAAAGAGGACGGACCGTGCAAATCGAAGCGCGATTTTTTTCAATGAGGAATAGGGATAGGAATCCAAGACAAACGAAAAGGAGAGGCCAGCGATTTTTTTTCTTTGTGGTCTTCACAAGTCATGTTGGTACAGAAAGAAGCGTTCGTTGGGTTAGCGCCAGGTCTCATGAAGAAAAGACCCTATCTCAACCGGCCCGACAAGTGACAAGCCTGTGAATCCTGCCTGGAGCTATAGTAGACGCGATCGGATGGAGCGAGCTGTATGCAACGAGCAACAGAATTTATGTCTCCATGCCTCGACGGGGAGGGTTGCACGTGATCACGAGATGTAGCTATTGCGTTTGTTCCAGAAAACCGATGGCCTACACGTAGCAAAGTCTTGGTAACCGCTCTCTAGGGCACCGGCAACAAAATCAAACTGCGCTTTAAAGGTATGGCATTTCTACAGTACATCATATTTCAGTCTATCTGTCCTCGTCCATGTGGTACACACCTGTACCCAGCCTTGCTTCCTACGCTTTTGGCATGTTTTTTCCTTCTCGAGGTGAAGGAGGAGCGGACGACGATCGCTTCTGATCCATCCTCTTCTCTCCGAGCGGGTCCCCACCAAGGTCTCCGGCGGAACGCCGCCAAAATTGCCCTCGAATTATTCCCAGGAATCACCACATACTTCAATGGTTCCATGCAATGACGGGAAACACAAAAAAAAAGCGCCTTGAGAACGATAATGCTGTAGCCAGGTGTCTGGAGCGGGCAAGTGGTGCGTGGAGGTGACCATGACGGCACAGGAAGTTCTCGTGGAACAATATCAAGTGTCGACATGGCGCTTGGAGCAGAACAACTAGCACACAGTACCTCCGGACGATCCTTGTTTATGGGTACGTATGGCTGATTATTCTCAACATGGCCCTGCGAATATCGTCCACCGAGGAGCCCGGCCACCGGAGCTTTGCATGCGGAGGTCGGACGTTCCGTGCCTTAGCAGACGGCATCAAACCCCAAAAGAGAAGAAGTATCTTCTTTCCCCCAAGGCTTGCCCCTTCCCTCCTTTGCGGCGAAGCCAATGAGGGCTACAAAGGCTTTCGTGTAGGGTGTGATTCAAGTCCTCATTGGCTTCACGAAGAAGATGAGCGATCAAATACCAACGGCACCTACACGTTGAAGGTGATATCGTGAGATGGTGCCGTCTGTGATGCCTTGCTTGGATGCCCAATACCTTTCTTCCGGCTTCCCTTTATGAAACATGCGATACTAAATACTCTTCACTCACGTTGTATTGAACAACCTACCTACGGACAACAAGAGGCACTGCCCAAACTAACTCAGTGGGTTCGTGGCACGACTCTGCAGCCGATAGTCTATTGGAGTCCACCAGGTGGTTGACTCTGCAGCCGGTAGTCTACTGGAGTTCACTACTGCTGTAGGTGGTTGATTTGTAGTCCGTCGTGCGCAGTCGTCAAGGGACACCTTCCCTCCTCTAGCTTTCCTAACGCGATTCTCTGAAAACTTGTTAAACATGCGCCCTTGGACCGGCGGGGTAGCTCTGCATGCGTGCATGCGCTGCTGCTGTGAAATAGCGCATGAACGTTGCCGTGTCAAGGTGCAAACCGCCTCACTCACCTTGTATCTCACGGGAAGAGAAAAGTCCCCACTCCTGCGACGTTGAAGGGGGCCGTGGGGCGCCAGCAAGGCCCCCTGCGACCCCTGGGCAAGTTGGTCAGTCCCCACTCGCCGAGGCAGTGGTAGCGGCAGCGAGGATCGGCGTGGTGGCATCCTAGCTGCCGTTACGTGGCCGGCAATTTCACCGACGACGGCGGCGGCGTCACGAGTACTTCCTCGAGGAGCCGTGCGCTTCGTGGGCTCGTGCTGCTGGGGGGACACCGCCACCGCCGACGATGACGTTTCTACGGGGCTCAACTTGGGGAGCTTGAGAGGGGGGGTTGCCACCTCCGAACCTGGTGTCGTCATCAGTTGGAGGGGCTTGCTGGTAGCTGAACTACGTAAGCCGTCGTTAGCGGGCGCGCTCACTGCTTGTGTGTGCGCATATCTTTTCGTCTCGTCCACCGCCGGTACGTTGGAATATTCCAGCGCCGATATTGCCAAGTGAGCTGACAGGGACAACGCTTTGTTCTACACTAAATCCAGTTACGAGACGCTTGCCATCATGGTAGTCGATGCAGCATTTTGTCAGCGAAAATGTGCCTTTGCATGCACAGCGCAGTGCAAGATCATGCGCGAGCAGTTCGCCGAACGACCACATGCTGGGGCTCCGATGAATCAAATGCCCAGTTTGTGGGGGGGGCAACCTCAGCCCGCACAGTCCCGAGCTCGGGGTTACTATCAGCTTTGTAGCAAAGAACGGGGGGCGCTTCACACGATGAGATTGCCGGGAATACGGTGCCGGGAATGGGCTCGGCGCTGCTTTTCCTCCTCGACAATGGCCACCAATGGCCCATGTGAGTTTGGCTGCATCAATTTGGCTGCAGCAGCACATAGGCGAACACCCGTGCGCGCCTTCTTTGTATCTTCAAATGTTAATGTTGTCCTGCGATAGACCTCTAGACTAGACTAGACTAGACTATTTACGCCGACTTTTCTGTAGTATCAAGGCTTGAGCACGCGTGGAATACAGCAGTTACGCTTGCAAGTGTGCGTAGGGCAAGAGGTGAATGCGTCGTACCGCAATTCAGGCTGGAAACGGTTGTCAATGTTACATGCTTCAATGTGGTAAGAATTGTGGTGATTCATCCAACGATCGATGCCTTGTAACGACAAGATCCCTCCGGAGTCGGAGGGCTCGTGAGAGCACAACAGCAGTGTCGTCGTCATCAAGGGGCGATGCACCTTGGAAATAAAAGCAGGCAGCAGGATCAACTCACGGCTGACTGCCAGCTGCGGTGTAACGTTTCCCAAGCTCAACAGCTTGCACTGCTGATGTGTTTCTGACACGAACAACCCAGCGAACCCCCACGAACCTACAACAACACTTGGGCTATCAGACCAAGCACTGAACTGTATGTAGAAGGATGGCAGCATGTTGTGCAGGTGCCCGACGACCGGGGGAGGTCCGGCAAGCGTATTCATTGCATTTCGCCGCTTATCTGCATGCTCCCTCAGTGTTGTCTTCGCGGTCTGGTCGCCAGGAATACTGCTCGACATTGGTTCATCGTTGACAGCAAGGAGTAAAACGTGCCATTGCAGCATACGAGAGATCGATGCCTTCCCCGCCGTATGTATCCACCGTGTACCGCTAACCTGGTCTCCAACAATCAAGAAAACTGTCGAACAGAACCGCCTCCTTACCGATGTAAGGACCGGAGAAAAATCGAAACAAGCGAACCAGTCACCAGGCTGACGCCAATGCCGTGTCGCAATGACACGCGTAGAGCATTCAAGGGAACCTCGGTGTTCTATCACGGTGCACCACGTTGCATCCTCTTCGCTTGGGACTCCCAAGGGCTCTCTCCGTTGACGGAAAAGGCCCCCCTTTCGGTCGCACGCTCGTATGAAGTTTCTACCTACCGACTGCATCGACTATATACTCCTATGCTGAGCCACGTACCGACTGCGCAGCCCGCCGTGACAGGCGCTTCTCAGAATGCTGTGCCGGGTAGACCTCCCGTTTACCTCCCACCCCGCGCCCCACACCTCCATTCTGCCTGCGTGACATCAGCTTCAGCAGCGGCAGGGTCGACAAGCGTGCTTCGCCCTTACCAGTCCTCGGTTATAGACCGGGCCGTGGAGCTGTACGGACAAGGAACCCGGCGCCTGTTGGTTCCGCTGGCAACAGGCCTCGGCAAAACTGTGGTCTTCACGCACCTTCCCCAGGTACGTGACGACATTTGTTTTTCATCCCTCCTGTCACCATGCGTTCCTTGAGGGGTACCACAGCTGTTTGAACGAGACCGAGCACTGGACGAAACGCAAGCTGTAGCAGCTGCTGTTCTCCATGTTTCTTTTCTTCCATTTTTTGTGTCCTAGGAGGGATCGTCCCTTCCCAGTTTCTCGGCATATACCGGGATGATACCTATCTCCGGAGGTTAGCCGAAGGTGGACGTTGTTCCTGTCACTATTGCTTCACCTGTCGTACAGCTCTTCTACTTTGCTGCAACCGCCACAAAGCCCCGCTGCTTGGATGCTGAGCCGCTTTGCAAAGCGATGTTGCCACATTTTCCACGCCCTGGGGCGATTGATCAAAACCGGAGATGAAATGCTAACGGTGAGGGTCGCGGGCGTTACCGATGCTTGCGCCGGCAGGCGTTTCCGGAGCTGTGCCGGCGGGGAACGTTAGTGCTGGTGCATCGCGACGAGCTCGTGCAACAGGTGAGATACGCCACGCCGCCCGTGCCTGACTCACGGTTCGAGCACGCTCCCTCCTCACAGACACCCCCGATTCCCCGGAGGTTGCGGGTTTCACCGATGGTGTGGGTTTTGCCGGCAAGCGTTCGTGGAGTGGCCAAAACGATTTACTTCCAACGATGTTACGCCACACGTTGGTGTGTGGATTTTTTTCAAGTTTGTTTTGTCGCTCCTTTTTTCTCGCCAGGCAGTGGCATCCTTCGGAAAGTTCCTGCCCCATCTCTCGGTGGGGGTAGAAAAGGGCAACGAGACCGCGCACGCTGGGTTAGACGTGGTGAGCTATTAGTGATGTTCAAAGCGACTGCGTTGGTGCTGCTTGCTGTGGCAGAGGGGGCATCCAACTACGTGGAGCAAATCAACTGAAAAACAATACCCTGAACTAGGTGTTAGAGGTTGATACAAACACACCCGTGTGGTTTTATGCAACTATATCGAGAAGTTGCTAGGCACAACGAACCGTTCAAACATCATTTCTTGATATGACGGCACAGGGTTATTTTCCGTCTATTTTGTGCTCAATCTTGCTTTGTTTTCTTCAAGCATGGTGGTGCCGCTCATGACCAAATTGTGTGCTTGATGTTTTTCCGTGCCCGTTGCATAAACGTGAACAGGCGTCCTGCTGGCACCGTCATGTATGCATGTTATTTGAAGGCGCGTCTCTACAACCTGGGTTCGCTTGCTCTGGGACACATTTTGGCTACCTCAATACCTTTCGTGGCATTGTTCGCTTCGCCTGTTGGCCCTGTTGTTTTTTCGGTTTGCCTCATGCAGCGGAAGCGGTATGTACAAGTCGCGCATTGGATGTTTTTGGTCGTCCCACGTAGACTAGTTTATAACGTCGCATGGTTTGGTCGGCTCCATGTGTCAAACCTTGGGTCATGTTCGCTGAGTTTGTGTGCGTGCTTTCTTTATTCACGGCAAGGTGGTCGCTTCGGTTCAGACCCTTGGGAGGCGCGGTTCGGGAGCGGCGAGGCTTCGAAAGTTCGCGAACTACGGGGGAGTAGTTGTCGTCGACGAGGTAAGTGGTTTCGTCGCCGTCAAGTTAACGTTGTCACAATCATGTCACCGGTATCGTTCTTCACAGAACCATATGCTCTTCTGAGTCGGCAAGGCTACTGCATCTTCAGCGATGACTACTGCGACGTGTTGGGGTCGTCAAGTATGACATGGAATATGTTATGACGGATGATTGTCGACATGAAGCCGGATATTTTCGCTGTAAAAACGCGACCTGGTTTAATCGTGACGTACACTTCCTTTCCTGTTGTATTGTGTCTCCATAATGAGGATCATTTAATTAAGTATTGGATTTGGGTGAGGCCTCCTGCGCCGGCAGGAGGTCCTCGCCTGGTATGTCCTTCCCCGCGCGATGCGACTACGGGTATCCTTCGCGCGGGGTAGCACCTACCAGTAACCGATCCAGGTATTGCGAAGACCTCTATTGACTTGGCGGGTGGGTGGGATGGTCTCAAAATTCCCGGCCCGACTCTGCTCTCGAGGTTTTCGGGAGTGAAAACGAGGTGTGGTCTCTCTCTGTCACCACACCCAGATATTTCGACACCATCTGCGGTTCCATGATTCGTTCCAAATCTGGATCCATTCGATCGGAACGGAATTTCACTGTTGTATTCTGTCTCCATACCGAGGATCATTTAAGGAAAGTATTGGATTTGGGTGACGCCTCCTGCGCCGGCCTGTGGTCCCGCCCATACTACTTTGCCTCCGTTGACATTACCAGGACGTTTAGTTTTGACCAAAACCAGACCGTTGCAGACTCACCCAATCTTCTTGACACGTCGCTAATCTGGGGAACGGTGCAGGGCAGTAGTGACCTTCATTTGTGACCTGCGCACGCGGCGAAGCGCTGGTGGAATGCCGGAGATAGAGGCAGCTCGCTAGGCTCTGCGTAAGTCCTGCCTCTTTCTCTGTTGCTACCGCTTACCGGAGCACCAATATAGTATATTGTATCTCGCCACGAACGTCCAACCACCGATCTTCATGTTTTCTTCAATCACCGTCCCGGCAAGGGATTTGCTAAGGGAACCCTCCACCCGAAACGAATGCATGGTGAAGTGGACCAGCAGGTTCGTCACCCACAGTGCCCTTGCAAGGCCGTCGTCATACGGGCAGCCGTGAGGGGCAATTTGCCCCGCTTTCCCGCCAACGCTACCACCGGGAACAAGTATTCTATCATAAGATTCCACCCACGCATCGAGTAGCCTCTACGTACTCCGTGACGGCGCGGTACGCGCAAATCTCTGGGTAATCCGGGTCTGCAAGCACCACCACTGCCGCACTCGATGCACGCAGCTGCTTGCCAGACTGAAAATTGAAAATCAAACCGCGCGACCTTTTGTTGGGGAGCTTGAGGATCTGGGACCCTAACGTGAACGATAAGTCGAAAACCTGCGCATCGAGAAAACGCCAGGGAAAACAGGGCGACATCCCGCGTCAAGGCATTGCGCTCCGCAACCTGGGGCGCCACTTGCGCCCGAGACCGCGTGTCGCTGATGAAGTCCACAAGCTTGTGCGCTAGCATTGGCGGAGCCTGGTGAACCGCCACTCCTACCTTCTTCGGTTCCTCGGATACGAAAGTAAGGTACGAGTCCACCAAAGGGCTACCACACGGGTTGCCTACTTGGAGGATGGGGTCCCAGTCCTCGCCCTTCCCATGCTCCTTCAACGCCATTTTTGACTTGGAGACGAAGCCTTTGCAGAGCGAACCGGCCGCATAACGTCGAGCGCACGTTGACCCTGCGAGGCACCTGGCGGCCCCCAGGGAACCTACGCCCGGGCGTATCATGCACCATCTTCGTACCTTTGCCTTGTGTGTCCAGAAAACAAAGAAAATCGAACACGTTGTCCGGAGTCACGGTGTGCTAACCCCGGCAGCCCGCGGAGACTGCCAGCACAAACGCAACACATTCATCGGCCACCCGACTTTTCCGCACTTGCCCAGGGCGCCCTGCCATTGCGGCTAACACTTGAGCGCGACGGGCCTGCACCTGAGCCACCACGAGGGGCACTTGCTTGGGGTATCGCGGCGTCGGCAGGGCCCCATCTGAGGGGACCCCGCACCGAAAAGAAAACAAAGTGGGCGAGGTTCTCCTCGTGGCAAGCAGAACAAAACGCAATCCACACCACGTCCCTGGCTGCAGCGGGGGGGGCGACGCTGCCACGCGGCGAGCCACCGGCCGCAAGCTGCGCGGGAGGGGCGAAAAGATGGAGGGAGGGGAGTCCGGGCAACCGATCATGAACCTGACCAACTTGCAAGCCGGGCAGCCCACACAGGCCTCGTAAAGAAAATAATCTAACGGAAATCCACTTCGTACGCGACCATACCCCAACGCGGGTAACGCCACTGCTACAAATCAAAAGAAAAAGCTGGAGGTTTTACGAAGCCGGTTTTCGGCTCCGGTTTCGGTTTACAGAAGAAGGAATATTCGTTCCACCTGTTGTGGGTTTAACCGGTCGAACGGGTTACATTGGATTACCCCTTGAAAGCTTACGCAAAACACCCATTATTCCGCGTTCTTGGCACTGTAGCAGCCGTTTACCGTTGGAAAATATCCCAAAGAGTCAACCGGGGTTTATGGATGCCGGTGTTCGGTTTCGGCTTTGGTAGAACCGGATAGTAAGTTTTCCGGGACCGGATTCGGTTTGACTGGAGACACAACAGAAGCGTGGCGACGAGTTTCGACCACGGCTACGACTCCACGGGTCGAGACGGGCTTATACCGTGAACCGCAACCTGTGCCACGAAGGAATATGGTTCCTTAGCATCATCGCCGTTGTCATCGCTGTTTAATTCTACTTGTGAATCATGCACACACGAGTCGGCATCCTGAGTGCTCATGTGGCCCCCTTTCAGTCTTCCCCTCTTTTTCATTTATTGCTCGGTTTTGCTTGTCAGCCGCTTCCCCCGCATGGCGCCCGACGCTATATGGCACACGGGTGCTCGTTGACGACGGGGTGGCTTCAGCCCGGTAGCAGCCCCAACTGCTTCTTTTTCACACAAGCGTCATACACACCATGCCCGTCCGTTACTCTCTGACAGCTTCCGTGGTCGTTTTTCTCGTCCTCTGGATCTCCTTTGTTTTCCTGTAAGAAAGGCGCACCACGTGAAGGCGGGAGGAATGTACGACGACGTGCTCAACGGGCTTGGCGTCGGCAGCGCGTGTAGGGGGGAGACCCGGGGCGGTCGCCTCCTGGCCGGCTTCACCGCCACACCGCGAAGGTTTTGGCGAAGTGATTTAATTGATCGGAAGATACGTAGTTTGATGCACGTTTTCGGCTACGAGACAAGAAACGTCTGACTTTTGAAGTGCGTTTCCAGGGATACGCGGTGTTCCTCTTTCTGCCCCATGACCCATTTTGTTGTCGTAGAACCTTGCCTTGATTCCCCAGACGCCGCGCACGAGCCACCGCCCCCATGTCCTTTTGATCTTCTGCCTATCCATGAACACGCCGAAGTCCACCATGTCTAGCAAGAGGTCCCACGGAGTGAACGGCCGTGCCCGCATCTCCCGAACTCGCCGTTGCCCCTTGCGTTTTCTTGTCCAAATTTTCCTTCGCCCTCGTGCCGTCGATAAGAGCGGACGGACTGTCCCTGCGGCCTTTCTTCGACCACAGCATCGGGGGTCTGGATCTCCACTGGGGCATCGCGAACGGATACCTCGTCGACATCCACGCCTTTGCCGTCAGAACCACCACCGACATCGCCGCGCTGCCCACTCGCATGCAGGTATCGAGGCGGCATTTGATGTTATCTTCCTGTTCGTGTAGTTGGTTTGTGGTGCTTGTGATGTTTCTGTAGGTGATTTCGGCAACATCGTTCGGCGAAACGTCTAGCCACAGGTGCATGTCGTGAATATTTTTGTTCATTCGGTTTCTAATACGCCTTCTCCAGGTGATCGTGTCTACCGCGTCTAACGGTTGGCGTGCGTGGGTTTAGGCGAATCTTTGTTGGGATGAGGGGTGGCAGGGCATATGCTCTCGATGCGCGAAACAAACTGGAGTTGTTCTCCTCTGGGTGTCTTCGTGTTGAAACGTAATCCACCGTTTCCGCTACTTCCTTCTGGTCCATCTCTTCCTTCGCCGAAGAAAGACCTGTCGACGCTTCCTCCGTCACAGAGACGCTGAGTGAAAATCATTGTTGCTGGGCGTTCTGGTATCCGATTTTTCAGGACTTTTCCGCCGGCGCGCTGTCTACTGCGGTGAACAACGACGTCCGTAATGAGGCCGCCGCGCGCGCGATGCTGGAGTTCGGTGCGGGGGAACCCTTGTCTTCGAGGAAGAAAAAATCCCCGAGGTGACAGCCCGGTGAAGTGGAAGTCGTGCACGAAGCGTTATTCTACTTTACGGCACAAGTTTCTTGCTTTGCCTTCCTTGCATATTTTCAACGACAATTATTTTTTTCTTCCGACAGGGGAATCGCCTTCTGCGTGGACGTCCGTCACGCGCACGACCTCGCCCGCGTCCTGAACGAGCACAATATTTCGGCGATGGCGGTCGACGGGGGCATGAACAAAAAGGTGGGGACGAGACATCATGTGCACTATTGAGGAACGGACAGTCGCACGAACAGACATGGCGGGAACGTTTAGTGCGACAGAGCAAGGGGGACGTAGCATGCCACGGTGCATGGGGATGGACGATAAGCATTGTGGGAGATAGATCGAAAATGAGCAGGAAAAAGACAATCGCTTTGTTTGCGTACGAACGAATGGCCAGCATCGATGGATGGATCAGATATATCGTGCGGTGATTGGATCGGCCGTGTTTGTTAACCGGTTATGCATTGGAGGCATGGGCAAACAGGACAGGACAGGACAGACTCGAAGGGCACCGAGGATAAGGACATGAAAATCATCGTAGTTGATGTCACTTCTACACATCAACGTGCCACCTAAGTAGGCTACGCGTTGCTGTTGTTTGTTGTTTCTCTTGTGAGGTGCGTTTATGCGGTAAGTCATCTGGAATTCTGAGTTGCTCTCCCACCAGCCCTTTCTCCGATCACTGCGCTTGGCTCGGGCACTCCTTTTCACAAGAAAAATTCCTTCTTTTATGACCCGCCGTTCTCTCCAACCTGAACCCGCCTTGGTTGTTCTTCACTAGGTCACAAAAGGCTGCGCCGAATATTGTTCTTCCGGTTGTTTACCCATATCGCTGTGTCTCTGAGGCAGGATAGAGGTCGGGCGTTAGCGGCCTTCCGGTCCGGGGAGGTTTCTACTCTCACCAACTGCGGCGTCCTCACGGAGGGTTTTGACGCGCCCTCTTGTGACACGATTGTCATGTGAGTGAGTTTATGCATGAGTAAAATAAATGAAACCGCCGCGATGCTTTGCCGACGTTTGTCTCGGTATGGGCGAGGGCAATTCCTCCACTCCAGTAATCGTCAAACACCGTTGTGTTCTTCAAGTGGTGTATCTCTTCTCTGCTTTCACTACCTTGGGCCAACATCCCCCATCCCTGCAACCACCATACCTTCCCTGCAATGCCGTTTTCCGGGTCCAACGTTCATATATGCATACTTTATCCACGTTGATCGTCTGGGAAAATGAGGCCTCCTACAACCAGCCCAACACTCTCTCGCTCACCAAGTTCTATAGCCCCCACGATAGTCGTCGGTAGCGTGCGCGATTGTTTGTTTGTCGCAGAGACAGAATGTATTGGCGCGCTGTATAGGCTCCGAAAGAACTATTGTCAACCCTCCATTTTCCTGACCCACGTGCTGCGCTAAAAATAGAAGTGGATGTCTCGTGTATGTTGTACGATCCTTGAACAGCGGGTAGGTGCGTATTTGAGGGGAAAAAACTTGCTGTGCTGCACCCTGCCTCTGATGTTTGGAGTGAATGTCTAGTGACTTAGGATTAGGTTGAGGTGAGATAAGTTTAAAATACCCATCTTGAACACCGGAGACAAGAGCCTGAGCCATCGAAACGTGCCTGAGTGATGAATCACAACCCAAGAACACACCTGTTGTACAAACACGAAATCCCACGCAAACTTCGTTTCTGGATATCCCTTGCATCGTTCAGGTGCCGCCCGACCCAGTCGGCCCCTCTCTACATGCAGATGATTGGCCGTGGCACTCGCCCGTGGTTGCCACCAACGCCCCAAGGTGCGGAGACCCCACGAATCACGGACATTTCCAGCTACAGTGCACAAAACAATATCAATGTATTTCTTTGGTCCGCCGGGTAGCGTCCTAGGTGCTAAAGAAGTACACATACACAGACCTCTCCTGAGTAATAACTGTTTGATTACAAGCGGAAATAACTCACCACGCGGGTGTTCACTTTTAGGGATAAGCTATCTTCGCGCGCTCTTGGTCGAGAACAATCTGTGACGCAAACTGTTGGAGCGTGTGTGTATTGATACCGCGGCATGTGGACGAAGCGGCACCACTTGGGTAGGACAACCTTGGGGGCGATAGCTCGGTTAGCGTACTCGGTTTTCATACAGAACGTGGCACTGCTAAATAATAAACCTCTTGTTTTTGCCGAGGGTCTTCTCTTTTGCCTATGGGGCACTGTACACCCACCGCGACTATATAGATTTAAGTGTGAGTGTCTGGACTGGGCACATGTCCTAGTTATGTTTTTTTTTTTCTTTGGGCTCAAGTTCGTAGCTGCTATTTTAGTAATTTCTCAAGAGGTGGCGCGTTCTGTACAAGTTTGTAGGCTTTTGGTCGAATCCTGGTCGAACCCATCTGCTGCAGCCAACAGTCTCGTGCCTGGCGGCCGAAGCTGGTATTTCTTGCCCCCCGTCATGTTTTCAAGGTTCGAAGGCAATGCGGCTTCTGGCTTCGAGCAGGAGGAGCGTAAGTGGAACCGATTTCAACCGATTCCCCATCGGTGACACAAGGTTCAATTCACTTCAAGCATCACTCGGGGTTGAGATTTGGTGTGCCGCGGGAGATGAGATGCGAATCTTGTCAACGAATCCTTTGTAGCGCCACTAGGGATGAAGCAAAATTCAGCTTGCGTGTATCTGTGTGGCCGGGCGCTTGGGGTATGCATGAATGCAGAGAAGAAAGAACGCCAAAAAATGCGAAGCTCGCACTTTGTTCGAGCAAGAAATACGCTTGATCATCAAGATGGCGCCGTGCGAGAGCTATCACCCCCTCGCTTCAAGATACACACCAGCGCACAACAGCCGCCAATGCCAGCAACTGGCGATAGTTCCAAACTTGGCCAAGGCGTTTCCGTAGGGGCAGCTGTGATAACTTGGACAAGGGCGCGGTTGCCCTGAGAGTCCGGCAAGGGTTGGCGTTTTACACATTTTCATCGCGGGAAACCATAGATCAGTCACGGAATGGGCTCCATCTTGAAAAGGGGCCCGTCGTCAGTGGTCTCCTGACTCAAGGCGCATGTACCTCGCTCTCTCTCACCTCCTGTACGTACAACAGTGAGGCCTGGTGAGTGGTCTCAATACATACGGCCTCCTAGGAATGGGAAACAGAGTAAGCGAAGTCACGCGATAACGAATGCGTTGTGGAACATATAATACATATTTTTTTGTGGAATTTGATGAGTACGAGCACCCTCGTTTCCTCCCTCCGTCAATTACAGCCAACAATGCGGATGCGGGTGCCGCTTCGACGGCCTCGAGGCGACGGAGTGACATTGCGGAATCACCAAAACCGCGTATGCATGTGATCGACCTGGTCGACAACTGCGGGAAGCACAAGGCGAGCACGTCGACTTAAGCTACACGGGTACAGCACCTGTTCGATTACAACATTGCCGCAGTTGTGTTTCGTGGGGTGCATCAAATCGTGCGCTCGACACCCCTCCGGCTAAATATTGAGCTGTTGTTCCCTGTTACAAACCAGCAGAACGCACGATTCTACGAAGTGAGCGAACAATAAGGCAGCAGCAGCAACAGCAGCAGGTGTTGCTGTGGTGTGCCGTCCCGAACAAGGCAGCGCTCTATCCGGTGCACCTCTGCACAATACCGTAGTAAACAAACAGTGCGGTATGTGCAACACACCAACGAGGGCTATATCGGCACTGCCGCTGGCAAGAGGTTAGACATGATGCTCAACACCCTCAAGGATGCTTGTCTTGTATGTTCACCTCCGTTAGTATATCGCTCGCTTCTTTCCTTACCGGCCTCGTGGTGCTACACGAATGTCACCTACAAAACCAAAGGGAGGCGACACTCAAGTATATTTCCAGGGGTAGGCCGACAATCATCTCGCAGTCGCAACGAGCATGTCTAGATTTTTGGTTTGCTGCTAGAGCGAGGGTGTAGACGCATCATCACACAACACAAAGGCCACGTTCACGAGAAATACTCGTATGTCCACCACGATTGGACCGAGAGAGTTACAAGAGGGAGCTTTCTTGTGGAAAAAAGGGCCTGCAGTAGGCTCGTGCGTTGTTACCATTGGCTCGTTTATGTCACACAGCAGCAGTGCTGAGTTGGGGGGCGCCAGAGT